CACAGTACTTGGTAGCTACTAGCTGATTGACAAAAAAATTTTTTTCGTACCTAACAGCTCCCTCGATTGTGCGGGTAGCCATATTTCTCGCTTTATTTGAGTTATTCCTCCACCAAGGGATGTCCAAATCCCTGTGCATAACGGTCATAGGTCTGGCAATATAATCCCACACTTTCATTTATTTCCACCAAGTCCTCAATGTTTTATGTTACATTATCCATCTCGTCCCTAAGTTTCGCACACCAGTGTATAAAGCCATGGGCAGTCATGATCAGCGGAATTGGAAGGAACACCAGAGCTTGCTTATCGATTTGATCAAAGGCCACACAAGTATATGGTGCCGTTGAGAGGATGGTCATAGAAAGCTCGGTTAAATGTAATCTTTTCATTTAGATAAGATCTAGGATACAACATATAAGAAAAAATTGTACTTCAAGAAAGTGGATGGCTCACGTGGAGTCACGGACTCTGACGAGGCCGAACCTTTGCAGACGGATGCCAGAAAGTACTTGAGAATTGTGGGGCTATATATCCTAAGACATCAAATCTCAAATCCTTTGATACTGTGAATGACTCAATAGTTTTTCCTAGTCAGGATATTATTAATAGCCCGCTCAGGTAGCTGTCAAGTGTTTTCACACACAAACCGTATGGAATTTCTCTTTCGTTCATAGACATTGGGCATTCTATACTGCTTTTCAACTTAAACTGTACTATATACTGTACTGTATGTAGTGTGTAGTATGTACTACATACTTTCAACTTAACTTCAACTGTATATTTGATGGAGGTTCGGATTAAGCCAAAGTGTCTCTTAAATGTAATTATGAATTCATTCTGCCTTTCCCCAAGGAATCCTCCTTCAATAAACCGGGAATATATAGACCCATAAATGCAACATACATCTGTTTTCTGCCGATTATTTGAAAAAATGATTGAAGATGTCAGCAATGATCATCTCGATAGAAACCAAATTCTGCCCGGTTCAGAAAAAATCGGTCTACAGTTTCACAAATGCTCACAAATCAGCCCCTAGAACACTCAGCAATCAGCCCCTAGAACGCATAGTGCTAGGGTCACTCACTGTGTATATGGCTATCCTGTCCTGGGGAGCGTAACTCCTCGTTTCGGAGCTGATGAGGATGGATTACTGTCAGCCGTCTGCCACAGAAGAACAGGGGTCAGAAAAACGGAACGGGGGTCAAAAAAACTGAATCCATTGAAGACCCGTTTATGAGTATATTGGCAAAATGTACAAACCTTTTTGCTACCTCATATTGCTTCATATTGCTTTCACCAATCAGAATTTTGCTACTTCACTTTCAGTTATTCTCACCGACTACGTGAAAATTTCAATCTAAACTGAAATTTCAAAATTTCACTCATCCATGGAGCAGTGCATCAGAATTCTATCTGTTGCTGAATCGGATATGATTTCCACGCTCTTCGTATATTCTAAGCTTCAGTCGGAATGTCATGCTAGATTGACCATATCTTTTTTGTCCGAAGGCGGGGTTATATTGGTGGAATATATTTTTCAGGACTGAACAATTGAAGCATTTATGCGACGAAAAAATGAAATATGTGAAATGGATCAAGCACGTCATCACACAACACTTGTTCCATCGAGGCTGAATGAGACGAGCGTCTCGAGGTGCACGTCGGCCTTCATCGTCGTCCAAGTCGCATCAGATTGCCAAGGCTGCAGTCCACGCATGGCTCTTGTTCTTTCAGGGCGTCGGCGCGTTTTCCAAGTCTCATCATATTGGATAGACTATTCCTTTTCAGAAATCGCACGTCTGGACTCATACTGAAACAAAAACTTAGCAGTCCTTAATAATACCTCAACCACTTCAACACTTCGCTGCTGTGAGACTTTCTCATGCAGCTAAAACGCGCAGTGTGGTTAGACATTGGAATGTGGAAGGCTGGCCATTGTGATGGCTCATAAGACGATTGGCAGCAATTGAGCTTAATTACTTCTGTGATGCGCTTATGTTTATGAACTGAATCGTATGAATTTACTCAGCTTATCAAAGTCATAACAGAACTTCAGGAATTAAGAATACTGGAGGGGACAATCCCTATCTATTGAATTCTATAGCACTGATTTGAAGCCATCCTCACAATAAGACGCATAATGAGAGAAGGGACAGTATGAGGGGCATAGAAATGGAATGCCTGAGTGCGTGGAAAGTCGAACATCTACATGTTGTCTGTTCTGGGGAAGGCAGATTTCCCAGTTTGATGCTTCAGTAAGGTAGAGGGTACATATGTGCTGTAGTTTGAAGAGCTTAATCCTAGTGACATCTGATCATTATGAGGCCTCAAAGGCCGTACCACGACAAAAGAAATAATCAAAAAATGAGGTATAGTTTTACAAAACGTCCCTCGATATTTGTGGAGATCCGAGAGACGTTTGAGCGTTTCGAAACACATGATTGTTCCAGACCTGACGGCAAAGCCCAATGTCGTTCTCCCCGGGTGTTATGGAATTAATGAGAGACGGCGAGTTTGAAAGAATAAAAAACTCTGGTTGTTGCCCATCCATGAGGCCGGAGGTTCTTCTATGGTTTTCTAAATTCACAGCACGGAGCTCTAGCAATGGTTGTGCGATGATAATCACATCTTGGCGGCATTACACCGTACTATCGCTGCTTTCATACGATGTGTTGCTAGGGGTTAGGTACTTAATGGTCCACTCGAGACACCTTGTCTTATAGCACCATTACAATTCAATCTGGCCAAGCCTAGCTAACTACGTCGTTATGAATATGAACGATTGTTGAGTTTAGAATTTGTAAACATGAAGGTTGTGCTTCATTCGAGTAGCATGATTGCCATAAGTTCTGCGCTCAAGTTTAGAAAGGGTTTACTATATCCAAGGAGAGTCCGAAGAGAAGAAAGGAGCATAAGCTATCTTCTATAGGCTATTGAGAGCTGTGCTTATAAAACCCCTTATGGATAGTTTATAGGATACAAGTAACTGTTTTGTGGCCACAGGCAGCTTTTGAGCCACTCTGATCCACTAATTCATTGTAAGAGTGCAGCTGCAGCTGGTGATATGTTCGCCATCCATTACCAAAAAGATTGGAGCTGAGCTGAGCACAATCAAACTCGGGCGGGCGTCTACCTAATCGGTGAGACCGAAGTTGAAGTGAAAGCTGTCGAGAGAACAGCACTTGAGCCGTCCCTCAGCAAGGAAGTCTTCACTTAAGAAGGCAGCAACATGTTTTATGTATAGCCACAAAAGGTGCTCGCATGTAAGGTAGTGTAACGCGGATAAGGATAGTGCCAACCGACGATTAGTAGCCTAATGAAACCTTCATTTCTTTTGTGCCCACACAATAGAAAAATCGCCTGTATTACCTTGTTTGTATTTCCCAACCAGTTCTCGCTTATCCCGTTAGCTAGAGCGTCTGACTGGACCAGGGGCCCTCACGACTGAAGAATCCCACCGCCTCTGGCTTGTGAAACACATCCCTTATGTTTCCTTGGATGGGTACTATTCTTTCTTATAGACTGATGTTGTCTCTACCCCATAGCGTAGAGCCGTATAATTTACCGTCTATCACGCCCTCAACGCACAATAGACTAATGTCAATGCTCAAGCTGCTACTTTCGAAAATTAAGAATACAGTTACAGGAATCAGTAATTCTGCGCCATTTTTGCCCAGAATAATACTGGACGTGGGTCTTGAGATAGATGCTTAGGAAGGTTCTGTATTTGTCCACAGCCTGAACAGTTACATAACATTTCTGTGCTTTTCACGTTTCGAACAAAGGCGCACCATTCCATTAAGTCAATGAGTTGTTTCGATGAACTTCATGGGAAGGGCGAAATGGTGTTGTTTTGATTCCAACCCATTGATTTTGGGCCATTTTCGTGGCAGCTTTTGGAACCTGAAATTTTGCACAAGTCAAAGTTAACCTACAGTTCTTCTCGAGTGCCTTCGTCCAGCGCCTGCATACAAACTGCGGAGACAATCCAAAGGAGAAGAAGCACAAAGCACTGTCTCATCTGTAAAGCAGCCCTGAAGTAATTCAGATTCAAACGGTAGTTCCGGAAGGATATCAAAAAGTGAGGCCGCAGCGAGGATGAACAAGAAGTGCAGTGAGTTCTCATTCAAAATGAAATGTGAAAAGGCATAATGAGCTTTTGAAGCTGACGTTAATTGTCTTCTATATTGATGGCGACGGTAATGAAAACTGCGATAATGACTGCAAAGTCATGAGTACGCTCCCTTGCTGTCGCTTTCCAGGTGCTCTCAGAATGGAAGCAAGGGAAACCATGAAAGAAAGCATAGGAATCATTTATGAAAAACCCTTGTGAAATATTTCAGCGGGAATCCGTAGTGTCTCATGCCTGAAATTATTGCAGTCGAAGGAAACTTCCCCCAACCTGTCCGAATTTCATCCACATAGAAGGCTCTGCTGAACCCTCTACAGATCTACTCTTGCCCCATTGTTGATAAATGGCAGACTCTTGTTCGCCATTAAATAGAACAAGGAAATTGACAAAGGAAGCATTCGTCTTCAAGAGCTCAATATGGTGACAAGGCTGGACTCTGCAATAGAACTCGTTACACATATAGAAATGTATGGGAGGAAGATTGAGTGGAGAAAAACAATGGGTCAGTTGCCCAAATTTGGCAGAGATTCCCACTATCGAATCTTTATAAGAACATAAATTCGTGCCATTTGTCGAATAACTCAGGTAAATTGAGGACGACTCTGCCAGATCACCTCAAGTCCCACAAGGACCTTATAACAGTCCGGGCAAGGAGCGTTGGTTAACCGAAATGACTCAAAAGGAATTGAGATATTGAAATTCCAGCCTTCATTAAACAGCCTATAGCCCGGATTGCATGAATAAATGCATGTAAACGTCTTTTCATCGACCATATTTTCCAGGATTTACGGAAACCACCAAGCTTCCAAAGTAGGGAGTCGGCAGAGAAAACATTTCCTGCCGCTACTGCTACCCCTAATGTTCTCAAAGAAGAACGCTGATCAATGGCGACGTTCATCTGTCGAAGTCATTATATACAGAGTGGGCCATAAATAAGGTAACAACTTTTCGGACGTCCGTAATTCCCTTGTTTGAGGGTGTCTCCAAATCCGCACCTTCCCTTATGTTCATAATATACCCTAGCCTACATATCTACCTCGCCTCGCAGTCATCCATCAGCCGTTCCGGCTTTGCGCGCGTTTAGTGGGCCCTTTTCCAGGATCGCTCCTCGTTTCAACATTTCCCACATGACAGTCCCTTGAACCGCAATGCGTAGACAGATCAACGACAAACCTCAAAGCGGTCGTCTTGTCTCTCATACGACCCCTTTTCCGTACAGAATCAACGGATGAAAAGAGTCTACTCCGAATAAATACAATTGTATCCCAATAAGATTCGAAGACTTCATAAGTTTTTTGAAGAGAAGAAATTGGAAAGAAAAAACAAATGCCGTGTGCCACTTGCACGCGGCACGCTCGTCGACAGACTTCTTTCTGACTAAAGGGTGTTCAGCGTGGAAGAAGTGTTGAGATCACAGAGTATAAGTATAAATCACACTACGAGTGCTGAAGCCGCTGAAATAAGTAAGATCGCCTCTCATAGCCATTTTCCCTCTTTCATGATGGTTTGGGCTAGAATCTCTACCACCAGAGCGATATCGCAAATTTTGTTCGGAAGAGAACAAAAATTCAACCCGAACTTCTTTAAGAAGGGCCTTTCTGAAAGGATGCAGCTAAGGGTCAAAGATTTTTTCAGATACCCCATTTGAAAACTATGGCGTACTTGCTCACGAATGGGAAAGGATCAAGACTGGTGCTGAGGAAACTTTCATGCTTTATCCCACCTTCCGATACTCCTACGAATTTCCCGGACCACATTCTGATGGGCCACTGGATATAGTCCATACTGGAGAGGGAAGCCTAACGCACCACTGTTGCTGCTCAGAAATAGTAGAAAAAAGTCCGGACAGGAGTTCCTAAGAAACTCTGCGTGCCACCAGCGAGGAGTAGCCGAAGAGTCTTCGAGCTATAATTAGTGCAGAAGACGATTATATAAGATGACCATGTATACATTTTGTAGATGCGATGCATAGTAAATAATTCACATAATTTCACCACATGTCAATGTACATTGCGGTTTCTGCGCAGCAATTATTATATTTTGTGTTACCATATATACGGCGCACCCTGTAATACTTTTTGCAATCTGGCAAGCGTTTTCAGTTGGCCTATCAATGGAATAGCCGAGAAGTCTTTTATAGATATGATTTTTCATGAGCCAGCAAAGCTCTTTGACGACGAAGTGAATAGCTTACAGCTCCATATGATTCACTACCAGTGCTGCGATGAGAACTGACCTTGGTTAGTCGCGACCCCATGTACTTGTATTCGAATTAAACGGAAACAGCCGCTGGGTGATTCTCTTTCCGATCAATTCATGCTGATGATAGGAAAGCTAGATCTCTTGACCAAGGTTTCGGAACTTCTTTTCGAAATTCTTTCCGATCGAAAATTAGATTCTCAAAGTGGAGAAGTTTCTGATGAGCTGATCTATTAATGATAGGAGGTTAAGGCAAGACATGGGGTTCCACATCAAAAAACCAACAGCTCGAAGCAGACAGGTCATATTGGAATACCTGAGCACCTTACTACTGTGGAATTTCGCATACATGGCCAAACGAGCATTTCACAGTGGTCGAATTCCTTTTATTCGATTGAGAAGACGTGGCTCAATCACAACTCTGAAAATCTTATCGCCAGCATCAGGCTACGAAAAAAAGAAGCGTTTATATCGATCTAGGAAGACTCCACAGAAAAGACCACACTTCCTTCAAGGTCGTCGGTGATTTTAACGCAAGATCAGCCGCAGACGAACGGCTGAAGCGCTCCACATGGGGGTTCACGGAATCGAATGGAATGAGCACTGTGAAAGGCTGTCCGAGTCCATCATGTCGACCCACACCATCCATGATAACTCGCAATTCCAGAAGCCCTCTAAATTGCGATGGACATGGGAGTCGCCTGGTGGACAGTTCCACAATGAAATAGACCACATCATCTTCAATCGGAGATTTTGCCTGACTGACGTCGCTTTTGTTCCGAAGTTCTACACGGGATCGGACCATCGTCTTTTCCGCGCCAGATTCAGATTATCAGTGCGTGGAGATAGAGCCATGAAGTTTAGGAAACGACGCCCCAAGACCTTCATCAACTGGGATCTGAAAGGAAGAAGAGCAGCAGTTATGGACGAAGCCGCCGAAGCCGGAAAGAGCATTCGCAAAGCCCAACGGAGCTTCGCCAATTACAAGACCAAGATGACATCCCTTCGTCGTCCTGACAGAACAGTTACTGCATCTCGAAGGGAGATGGAGAAGGTCATCTATGACTTTTACTGGGATCTCTACGACAACTACGTCTACTTGCCTACTCATTATCATGGGCAGGACGAATACATCGCTCCATCGATTCTCCTTCCGAAATTCGACTTGCCATCACGTCGAGGAAGTACTGTGCCCGGTCCCGATAGGATGAAACCAGAATATCTGGAGAGTCTTCCACATCTTACTGTGAGAACTCTGGTTAAGCTCTTCACGCGGTACCTGTCGAAATGCAAAGTGCCCACGTCGCGGAAAATTAGCAAGACTATGTTACTGTCCAAAAAGGGAGATCCCGACTATATTGGCAATTATTGCCCAATCTGTTTGCTGTCTGTAATCTACAAATCTTTCACACGCGTCATCCCAAACAGGCAGAACATTAAATGAAGGACAGCCACGCGAGCAAGCAGGGTTTTGAGAGGGTTCAGTACAATCGATCATATCCACACTCCTACAAGACTCATTGAAGTATCGCAAGAGTACAAAATGCCGTTCATCGATTTGAAAAACCTTTTGATACCATCGAGACAAAAGCGGTAATTGAATCCCTGGGCACCCAGGGTGTTCCTACTCAATATATAAGGGTGCTTCATGGGCTCTACACTAATTTCACGACCGCGATCTTGCCATTCTACATATGGAGAAGCCATTATCAACGTGAAGGGAGGGGTTCGACAAGGCGATACCATTTCGCCCGAACTCTTCAGTGCCGCTCTTGACAACATCATGCGTCATATGGAGTGGGAAGGCATGGGAGTGAAAGCCGCGGCCGCTATTCGCATCATCTCCGTTTTGCACACGATCGTGCTTATAACACCGAACATGCAGGCGGCACGAGTGCTGGTCGAGTGTGACAGCGCTTGTGGAAAGGTCGGCTTACAACTGAACCTTACGAAAACAATGTTCGTTAGCAGCAGAATGATTCCTGATGCTCCTTACACGCTGGAAGAAGCGAATATATTTTTGAATGTTCTAGCTACGTGCATTTAGGTTGGAAAGTCAACATGATGAACGATCTAGCTCTGGAGCTGAGCAGGAAGAAACGCGCTGCGTGGGGAGCATTTGAGCATATCGAGGGAGTAGTGAAGAAGATGAAGAACATCCGGCTCCGCGCTCACCTTTTCGACACTGCTGTCCTTTCTGCTTCGACGTACGCCTCGGAGACCTGGACTCTACGAATTAGGATGAGCATGTTGTCATCGTTATTCATTTCGCTTTGGAAAGGATGATGCTCGGGAGCTCATGAAGCATCCTTATATATTGAGTAGGACCACCATGGTTGCCCAGGGATTCAATTACCGCTTCTGTCTGGACTGTATCAAACGGCTTCTCAAGTCGATGAACTTACGACATAACGGCATTTCCTACTCTTGCGATACTTCAATGAGTCTTGTAAAAGTGTGAATATGATTGATTGTACTGAACCCTCTCCGAAACCCAGCTTGCTCGCATGGCTGTGCTTCATCTAATACTCTGCGTTTGAAAAGCATGTACGGAATTTCTCTATACACGCAAGTGCAGAAGGGAATCCGGAGTTCCGAGCTACTCACCGAGCGAAGACCAGAGATGCCACTGATTACGCAAAGAAATCGAAGGTCAGGTGGGCCGGACACGTTATGCCATATAGTGATGACCGTTGGATCAGGGCGGTTACTGACTGGATCCCTCGGGACATCAAACGAACTCCAGGAAGGCCGCCAACGAGATGGTCAGACTTCCTCACAAAAGCTCTGAACGAAAGGAATACTGGACCTCGTGCCCCTGACGCGAGGACGATTCACTGTACCACTGTAGCTCGTGACAGATCCGAATGGAGACGTTACTGGCGCCCGCTCGAGGAAATCAACGATCAACGGGACGAGAGGTGATATAGGTGAGCCTAACGTAAACAACATTTTTGCATGGATCGTTTGTTGTCCAACAGTCAAAAAATGCTCGGATCGCATTGCAGCACAAGATATTATCCTTCGAGGTGCCATTCACATCTTTTTTCAATTCTGTGAGGCATGAAGGGACTCATGAACAAAAGTTGCTGGACGAAGAACGCTGGAGAAGACCAAAAAAAGCCCCTTTCTGGCCTGCTAAAATTTTTTTTGGAAACCAAAAAAAGCCGTGCCTGCCTGATTCTGGTTCCTCATCTATCGTTCTGTGGAGAGGTGGCTTTTCTTTGGATTATATTTGCTAGGAGTCGGTTCGCCCGGCCAACCCGGGCTGGCTTCCCTCCTTCTTCGACAAAGTTGTAGTTTTCGATCAATTCTCTCCTCTTTCTTTGGAACGAATAATATTTTCTCTTTTGCTCTTGTTCTTAAAGTAAATAGCCATCAAAGATTCAGTTGTTCGGCAACCAAAGAATCGGGCGGTGTTCACAAATTTTTCGAGTGATGACAACACCATTATCTTATGCCGTGAACAATGGACCTTTTTCTCTACGAAGTACCATTAGTTGAGAATTCCAGATTACTAGTGGTCGGTTATGTTTTGCCGCAAATGATACCGAACAAGGAGGATCCTTCATTGAGTCACAACTCTTGCTGGATAGCGGTCGTAATCTAATAGCAGGAAATGAACAAAATTCTGATCTGCCTACCTTAGCGCGGCTAATGGGCCGCTATCACCACTCACTTTTATTACCCTACTCTACCATCGAAACATGCTGAAGAGTAAAAGCTACATCGTAAATACCGAAGAATTAGGATTTGTTCCTATCGTTATACCCTACATCACTTATCTATTATGAATGGCGAGGTTCCACTGTGAACCCGGAAAGCTGTGATACTATAAAATTTGAACGAATTTTCGCTCATTCATTTTTTTTCAAACCCAGCCTCCTATGAGCGAAATCCGGTCTTGCCACCTACGTAAGTGTTCCTACCCTGCCTCCTGTACTCCAACCAAATTTGGACGCTTGAGGTTTAAATTGACAATTTTCGTGCAAACGAGATCCCTATTACATGCCATGAGTGTTTCCATCCTGTCGCTTGTACTCCGACCAAATTTCAACGCTTTTGATCCACGTGAACAGGAGATATGCATTCACGGTCGAAAATTCCTATCGTGCGCGCCCCCTTTCAGGGGACGGAACTTACGTGCGTCCGAGGATGCGCGCGGCGAAGTGCGTGGTGATTCGGACGAATCTGGCGCCTATCATTGGGGTCCAAATTTGAAGTAGAGTAGATTAGTAGTATTAGCCGACCCTACTGTATTTCAAATTTGAGCTCCAATTATAGAAACCATAAACGTTCGAATCACCACGCACTTCGCCGCGCAATTTGCCGCGCGCATCCTCGGACGCACGTATGTACCCATACCCACCCACCTTTCGTGTAGGAGGAGTCTGGTCCTGCTACCTACCATGAGTGTTCCCATCCTGTCGCCTGCACTCCTACTGAGTTTGAAGCTCTGGGTCTACGGGAACAGGAGTTATGGCTTTACGATCAAATATACACACCGGCACACGCACACCCAACACACCGACGAACCAACAGACACATTTAGAGAATTGCACATAGCATTATTTAACTATTTATTTATTTATTTCTGATGAGAACTACTGCAAATAGCTTTATGACTGAAATGTTCTTGTGCCGTGCGAGGTTGTTAGGTGGAACAAATTGCTAATTCAACGACCTAACCCTTCGACATTATTGTCTTCTTCAGAGACCAGGGTTCCACCGCTCAAGCGAAGAATATTTTGACCATAAATAACTATGCCGAGGTTAAAGCAAGAGAGAGGTTGGAGACTGCAAATAGCATCCAGTCACTTGTTAAGGTCAGCTGTCGGTATAAATCAGAACACCTGAATTCGTGACGATTCGCAGCAGCGCCCTTCCCTCCGCCGCTTCCTTGGATTTCCTTATCAGAGTTATTACTGCTTCTACTCTGTCCATTTGCTGCGCGAACCGTGGGAACCGGTAACTAGCATTAATGATGATATGCTAGTCCCGCTAACCGATGGCTATCAATGGGGAGCTCCGATAAAGGACTAAACAAAACAGAGAAGTTGAAACGTGGAAAGAATTATACGATGAAATCCTTCGTCTGATTATGTGCTAATCAGTCGGGCCGCCCGGCTCACGGCGCTGCCCTCTCCTATGATAGAGTTTTAAGAACCGGGTAACTGTCTCACTCCTTCTTCGTAATAAATGATACTATCTCGAACCCGAAATTGGAAAAAAGGACTAACACGGCATACAAATGGTATTCAGAATACGCAGATGCTTATGCCTATGAGAAAAAGTGGGCGAAGAAGGTGTAATGGCATATCTCACACGCACGGTCAGGGATTCGAAACAACCAAGCCTTTCATCCCTCCGGGATCGGTTAATTGTACTATACTCGTCTGAGAGGATAAAAGCACTGACTTGTAAATCGGCTGGCCAGAGGGTCTCTGAATGGGCGAAATTCTGTAAAATGAACACACGTAGATTTCAATTCTTTTCTGTTTCGATTTTTGTCTGTTCCAAATGAAGACACCGCTTGAATAGCAAGAATTAATTTCTAGCGAGACCCTGAGCTCGCTCGTGCATATCGTGAGTAGGAAGAGCATTCCATTTATTCAAGAGGACGTTTCAGTGGCTGGAAATATGAGGTGTCGAATCAGGTGAGCTGTCTACAACCGTTCTTCACTACTTTTGAAACAGCTTCGGTCTTTCTTTGAGAGCTTCGTGCTTACGAGGAGAAAGTCTTTTTGTTCATTACCATATCGTTGTTATCGTTAATCAAAAAAATTTCAGGATCACTGCTTCATCCAGGGCAATGAATTCATTGACCGTATGATACTGGGTGAGCCTGAAAAGTTGTACAAGACTGGTCTGGCTGAGAGGCATGGATAAAACGACTGCCTAAGCATATATGTATGTATGTACATACACACTGATGAGTGTTAGACGCTGGCAGTTTTGGCGATGCCTTCACAGAATTCTATCTCAAACACAGTGACCGGCTTCTATGTCTGTGTAGTAATTATGTGCAAACTATAAATAGTGATATGATATGATAAATTGTAATTCGTGGGGGATGATTCGTTCAAATGCCCGTCCTTGCAGAGTACTAATATTTCTCGATTTTGTGTAGGTGTGGAGGATTTATTCCATCGAAGGTAAACCTATGACTAAAGAAAAGCCTGGAAAGTTTTGTCGGAAATTCTCTCACAGAAATATTCACCTGTCCATGCCACACCTACATATATCGAGTGAACATGAACCGAGTAAAATTGCCCAGCTGGGCTACCAGCAGAATATGAAAAATGCGAAATATTGAAAAAATAAAATAGCAACACAGAGAGAATACCAAAGATTTCAAGAATTCCGCTTCTGGCTCAACTTTCTGGTCGAAAAATTGTTTTCCAGACTTGTGTGTTGTGGACAGAACTAGACGTCACGGAGGGTAGCGACCGCCGGCATCAGTTGCAGGCAGATATGCTCAGATAATGGCCCAGCCAAGGCAGAACGACTGGTCAAAAAACCGACAAATTGTGTTAGTTGGTTCTGTAATGGGTGGAATGCGTGCCATAGTGAGACAAATTACAAAAATAGTTACGGAATGGTAGTATTGGGAGCTTGCGGCTATCTCTAACAGCAAGCAGCAGACCCTTTTTGCGCAATCTCTGTAGCTAATTTGTTAGAGGGCCAAATGAGGTACCACGCGCATAGTTCTCCTTAACATCCATATACGATCAACCTTCTAGATGTATCAAAGCGTGTCAGGTTCTTGGTGAGAGGGTTGTTGCTTTGTATTGAACTGCATTCAGATTAAAGCCGCAAATTAGAATGCCGCTTGACTTTAGTTCATCTGGTCCAAGCTAGATCAGTATTGGCAATTGATGATCCTCAGCCTGCATTTTCGCTCTCTTGACGACGGCATCGTTCTACTTCAAAAGCTGGCCTTAACGAGCTGCGTGACATGAAATGACATGTGTCAATCACTCTCAATTTCAGTTGAACAGAATGAAACCATAGAAACTCCCATCATCCGAAGAAGGTTATTGTGAATTACTGAAACTCTCTGCCTCCTCTATCTCGAAAATTCATCCGAACGCGGCAGAGGTCGGTGAAACTAATTTGTGAGTTACTGTATTGCTTTGCCTTCCTAATTGGTTGAACAGAGGTTCGTGATCTTTAGACAGACATAGGGACACTGAAATGATTAGTTCATTGGCGCCCGATGAAAACATTTGGGGAATCTCACTCAGATACAGTCCTCCTTAGAAACCATGCCACCCCTGTCCCTCGAATCAACCACAATGAAATAGACCTCAACGGGCCTCATAGAGCGTACACATTTCGCTTCTTTCAATGACATGGAGATAGTTACAACCTCTTTTAAAACCACGTTCTCCTTTTACTACTGCGTACGTTGTAAGCTTGAGTTCTGTAAAAAGTCTTGAAAATGTAATATCATGTCCAAGGATTATGTTTCCTCTCAAAGTCTGTGCTGCTTCATCTGTTTGGCTTCTTCTCCTCACGCAGGTACGCTCATTGGAACAAGTCTTCAGATAAGATCACAGGGAAGCATAATAAAAAAAGAACTGAACATTTCTATGTGCCCAAGTCTTCCCATTCTTATGGGGCATGATCTTCTCGAGAGCGCCACTGAAACGATTGGACGAAATGGCATCGCTCTGCCAGACACCTCTCTTTCAGTTGATTATGATTTCCCTGTACAATGGCAAAACCCTGGCAGATTAGGCGGTAGTTGCTGATATTGCCAGGATCTCCATTCTTGCACAGCAACACAGTCTTGCTAGTTTTCCACGACATGGGCACTTTGCATTCCGATAGATACCGCGTTAAGAGCCTAGCTAGAGTTCTAAACAGAACTGATGGAAGACTCTTTAGATGTTCTGCTTTGATTCTGTCGGGACCGGGCGCCGTAAAACTCCTCATCGATGTGATGGCGTGTCCAATTTCGGAAGGGAGAACGGAGTGGTTTTATACATGAAAATAAGAGGGGCTTTGAATATGGATTCCTGATCGTGGTGAAATCATCAATCCACAGCATCAGTGAGTGTCATTCAAGACTTCAGTTGAATAACTAGGGTGCTCAAGTTAGAGAAGTCAGTTTTCCACTAGACCATTGAAGTAGGATCCGAAATGAATGGCTAGTGCAAGGATTGAAGGGAAAATCTCAAGCAGTAACCGTATGCGCTTCGCGCTGAATTTGAAGTGCCAGTCAATTGTTATTCTTCTTCAAAAACTTTAGGTAGAAATGAACATTTGTTTCGAAAGAGTCAGCCGTGTATTTCGGCTTCGGCTTCGTATAGGGAAGAAAGAAAGCTCAGGTAAACCGGGCGATCCCTCTCATATGTACGTAATAGCCTAACATAACATCCTTATTCTAGGCACATAGAGCCTTACTCTGTACGTTCACAATCTTCTCCGCTGGAAATATTCCATGGGATGAAGTGGAATATGCTCCAAATACAACACTCACTGCACCAAGTGAAGGTGGTTGTCTCAAGCAGTGTCTAGAAGATTTTCCAGAATGTGGTATGGTTATCACAGATAAAGTTGACGAATTGGTGAGTCCTTCATTTATGTTCGTTCCAAATCTATTGAAATTGTTTCACGCTGAATTGTTAAATATATTGTGTCCTTCCTGAACTGCAGATGGCAGAGGTGAAGGGCAGTAGCTGGCTCTGCTAGCCTGTAAAAAGTGAGGGAAATCAGTATCTTTCACTTCTGAAGCTCAATAAAAAAAAGGACGGCGTTGGTCTATGTAGATTGGCAACTGCCGCCATTCTGTTGACCATATCGATATCAACACTGCATTTGAGCATTTTAGATCGTGAATATTGTGCTTTCAGATTTACTGCTTCTTGTGCTATGTACGCGCCATTCCGTTGCATAATGCCTCAACAAATGTCAGGTATTTTAATGATAATGAAAAAATATACGTCCTGAAAAGAGTCGAATACGATCCTGCATGTCCTCTAGTAGATACCGTACTTCCAGCCTAAACCCGCAGCAACAATTCAGATAATCGTCATCGTTCATTGCGTTTGTTGCAGTAATGTACTATGATGGCTTTGTTTCCGCTTTGTTGTGTTGCCGACTTAACTCATATTTGTTGACTTGTTTATTTAATTTTGCTTGTCTATTTCAGTGATGTCAAATAAAACTTCATACCTTCGAAGCAAATTCCAAATTGAATTGTTCTCGCATTCGAGTGAATACTTATGCATCAAGCTATCCAGAAAGTTGTACCCTATCTTGAATGCATTACGCACAATTGCTTTACAGTATTACCTATTGACGACCGCGCCTTTTACATTGTCCTTACATTAACTTTTAATTTCTCTTATAACTGTAGTTGGAAGTGAATGATTCCTGAAGCACGATTCCTCAAGATTCCTCAGAGGGCTGTGCGCTCTTCTGATACTTGAAAACATGAAAACATTATAAGAACGCTTGGCAAACTTGACAAATAATCTAAATACTAGATGAGCACGATATGGTGTGGCTAAAGACTCGTCGGCGGGCCACACGGTCGTCCATGGGTTAAATAGAATCGACTCTTTAGCTTTTTCCATTATAGCCGTAAGAGCCTACCAACAACGGCTATGCCTCACATGTTGGTCTCGCTCTACGGATTTCAAAATTTAAGTTGCAATACCAGACCCGTATCGGAAGACGAATACAAGTTTGCATCCAACGCTACTACCAGTGGTGATAGAAAGGCATTTCAGGAGTCAACCAAGCAGAAACAGAAATGGACGCCCAAGCACCTAACAGAAACTGATAAGGAGCGTCGTAGAAAACGAGTCATCGGCTGAAAGTATTTACAGTGGTTGAGTGCTCGAGCGACACCATATCTGCTACGACACGCGACATGGGTTATGTGGTCTTGGGCAGCGAGGTCAGTAGTGTCTTTGCCGACGGAAAACGATAGTGGCGGTAACAGGCAAAATACTGGTAGACAAAGTATAAAAAAGGAAAGAATTTGTGCTTCCGCATTTTGAAACGCCTGTCCATTCCATCCGTACTTCCATTGCCCTCCCCGGACGGTTGCATTGCTGCCACCAGAAGCAGGAGCCAAGAGATTTATTCAACTTGAACGACTCGCTAGCCGTGGGTGCGCTTGCTCTATTGCATCTGGTGCTGTACTTCACAATAGCCTACATTGCGCCAAGGTACCTACGCATGCTGATGTACAAGTCCTTCTGGATGCACAGGAAACCAGGAAACCAGTCGGTATTGGCTACATTAGTGATCGAGCGGCTGAAAGTAAATTTTTCATCAGATGAAGATGTCTCCCAAGTTTCCAATATGTACTCCCATTTTCTCGGCCTCAGACTCAGAAAACAAGCGGTTTCTTAACTAAGTGAGGCATCAAGACTCAAAATGAGTAATTTGCCAACGTGAAATCTTTGATGATGCTTTTGCTGATGTCATTGAGCGTCCATGATACTTGAAGGCCTGATGGAACGGAACGGTAACGCAAATGATCGAATAGCTTCATTACTTTCATCTTTTGCTCCTCCATTGCCCTGATTGTTCCTAATAGTTGTTTCAAAACACGATTTTAGACGGAAAATCCATGTGGTGAATCCCCAGTGAAACTATCTCTAGCGAAATAGATCGTGTGCTGTGAACGAATCTCAAATTCATTCGAGACCCCACGACTCTTTCAATGTATATGTAGTGTTGGAGGTGACTATCGTAGGCAAACACGGTTACCTCCACTGGTAAATAGGTTGCAGCTCAAGGCTGTAATGATAGTGGAACCTTGACCTCAAAAATCTCAACTTTCTCGAGATCGCTCGAAACTGCATTGTTTTCATCCGAGCTCAGCATAAAACAAAGCTCATTCCTATTCGCACGATGCTAATGGCATTAAGAAGAAAGCCGGAATTTAGCATAGCAAGTGGGGCTACGAATACTTTATCATGCATAATGCTGTGTAAACTAGTCCGATGTTCACTCAATAATAATCTCCTCAAGCACAGCAACCGAGTCATGCAAAATGCAATAGAGGAAACGAAGGTGCGGTATTAATTGGCTCAAGGACGTAGATAAGGATAAAAGTACTTGGTCTTCGGGCTTTGATCAATCCCGTCTAAGGAATGAGCTCTTGCATTCGGCTTTAATTCAGAGTCATAGTGGCGTTGAATGCGTGTGGCCTGAACAATGACTAGTGGTGGCCAGCGCCTGAAGAAGTCAGTGCTTTTGTCATCCTAGACTAGTCTTGTACCAATTAGGTGATGGAAGGTTTGGTTGACTCAGACGAATATCGACCTGGAACACGAAACTGTGGCCATAAGTGTGTAGCGCCACTTGACATTACACAACCTTTGCTCCGAAGAGATAGATAGCTCAACCCCGATATTTTGGGGACACTGTACGATGGGGACAGGAGTCATGGATTTGCGCTCCATCATTTATTTCGCGCAAACCCCACTCCATGTGGGCGGAGTCCGGTCCTGCTAACCAACTTAAGTGTTCCCATCATGCTACCTGTACTCCTTCCAAGCTTGACCATAGGGCTATTCACTATTTTCGCGCGAACCCCGAACATTGTAGGCGGAGTCCGGTCCTACCTTCCACCATAAGTGTTCCTATCCTGTTTCCTATAATCCTAGCCAATTTTTGAACTTCCTAGGTCCACGGGGACAAGAGTTATGAATTTCTGCTTAGACCCCTCCCACTGTGGGTGGAGTCTGACTTTGCTACCCACCATAAGTGTTCCCATCCTGTCTTCGGTACACCTGCCTGACTTGAACGCTCTTGGTCCAAAGGGACAGGATTTATGATTTTACGGCCAAACGTTTATTTCGCACAAACCGGATTTCACATTTCAACCCTTTGGAGGGGTCCGGTCCTGCCACTTACCACAAGTGTTCCCATCCTGCCGCCTTTACTCCTACAAAGCTTGAATGCTTTAGGACCACGGGGACAGTAGCTATGAATTTCCGGTCGGACACACACATACACAAATATTAGCACGTTATATGTAGCAGGATGGTAGAATGAGTCCAATCGCTGTTGTTATATCACCTAAATGTAAGTACGGAATGGGTTTCACTTTTCACTTTCGACTTTTTTAGTTCCCATCCCAATTTTTCATAGCTTTACCAGCTCATCATTCTGTTATGTGCCCCACTCATTTGACTTTCCAATTCATTCGAAAAGACGACATATTTGACCAGGGAGCGCCTTAAAAAGAGCTTTTTGGAAGGCCGTTCTCTTGGCCACGTTGATCCACTACTCAATTTCTATTACGCCTGAGGTCTACAATGTTTTTGATGTGTTCTTCCACTCTTTGGAGCGGCGATCACCAATCGCACATGAACTGATTCAAATAAGTTTAGATCACCAAGCGCAAGAAGTTGGCTCATTTTGCGCAGTTGGGAGGTTTGACAGCATAAAAGGAGCACAATTATGATAAATAGCGAAGTCGAAAAAACATACTGAATCACAGAGGAAATATTCACAACTATGGCCAGAAGATTCCCGGAATCTTTTTTTTTTTTTGAAATGTCCGAACGTCATCAATCAAGACCAACTGGGGGCGGGGGGCAACAGGCATCCACACTTTTCTGTCGTCTTCGAGGACAGCAAAGAACTCTTTGAAGGGCTGACTCGACGGCGAGCAATGGGAAGTTGCCACTTGAGTAGTAGACGTTTTACTCGGAAAAAAATTTGGAACACCTTCATAAGTAACCTCAATAAGAAACAGCCGATGATTCACGGGATCCGAATTTTTTATTTCACTCCGAAAAAGCAGCCAGATTGGGATGATCCATTAGCCTTAATGATATGACGTCAAGTGGCTCCTGAAGATCCTTGTTACAATTATGCCTTCCTGCACATTGAGTCTCCGGTCAATCGCAATGCGATTAGATCATCAGAACACCCCCATGACTAGGCTGTAAAGCGGATGTGGCGCCGGGTGTGGTTGTCCTTAACCCTAATTCACACAACAGGTGCTAATAGTTCTACTGCAAAATCTTCCCCTCTACAGCACGAGACACGTCGTTTTGACGTAAGAGCCTCGTGCTGTAGAGGGGAAGATTTTGGATTCTGGAATGTTAAATCTGTATGTGCCAGGAGATGGGACCCGGTTTCGGCGAGATGACAACAACAACACCTAGCGCATCTCACTCTTCAGCACTTTATGAAGGAAATACATCCCGATTCAAACCAATGTGAACTGTTCAGTTCTCAAAGAGTTCCACCTAGCGACTGCAACTTCACTGCAATAAAAATCTAACGAATTACGGTACGCTGCTCAGCAGAAACCTGTGCGCACAGTCTGCTTGGAAAGCTTGATCACTTCCAGCACTGGTCCGAACGCAGGTTCTGAGCTGAGAAAGAGAGAATTACGACAAGGAAATGATTTCTACGGTTTCCCAAATAAGATTTATTCGTAGCCGTGTATCAGACCCCTGACGATAAAGCATGAAGTTTTGAGTACAGTGCGTCCCCAAATGATACAGCCACCCCTAATTTCCCCAAAAGCTCACAGTATTTGATGTTTCTGAAAAACTGCCAAAGTAGAAAATGTGTTAAATTTGAATTGCAATTTGCACATTATCACCAAATTCCAGC